ATGAGGCTAAACGAATGTTCCCAGAAAGGCTTGCGAGACTTAAGACATTGTTGTCAAGGTCTTGGTGAATACGAAGACCTGGATTGGCTGAGCTTCATGGAATGTGGCAACAGTTTGGCGTATCGGCGGGGAAGCAATGTTACACAGAACGGGTATCCATGGTGTTGGAGTCGACTTAAGGGTTCCTGTGATGCAACGCATCACTGTATTCAGCTGGGTATCCACAAGTTGTGTGTAGCTGCATCTGCTCCACTCCGGCGCACAGTATTCAGCTACTGAATATACAAGTGTTATTACAGATGTTCGCAACACTATAAGGTGGGTAGAAAGCTGGCTAGATTGTCGGGCTCAACGGGTAGTGATCAATGGCTCCATGTCTAGTTGGCAGCCGGTATCAAGTGGAGTGCCCCAGGGGTCGGTCCTGGGGCCGGTTTTGTTCAATATCTTCATAAATGATCTGGAGGATGGTGTGGATTGCACTCTCAGCAAATTTGCGGATGATACTAAACTGGGAGGAGTCATAGATACGCTGGAGGGGAGGGATAGGATACAGAAGGACCTAGACAAATTGGAGGATTGGGCCAAAAGAAATCTGATGGAGGTTCAATAAGGATAAGTGCAGGGTCCTGCACTTAGGACGGAAGAATCCAATGCACCGCTACAGACTAGGGACCGAATGGCTAGGCAGCAGTTCTGCGGAAAAGGACCTAGGGGTGACAGTGGACGAGAAGCTGGATATGAGTCAGCAGTGTGCCCTTGTTGCCAAGAAGGCCAATGGCATTTTGGGATGTATAAGTAGGGGCATAGCGAGCAGATCGAGGGACGTGATCCTTCCCCTCTATTCGACATTGGTGAGGCCTCATCTGGAGTACTGTGTCCAGTTTTGGGCCCCACACTACAAGAAGGATGTGGATAAATTGGAGAGAGTCCAGCGAAGGGCAACAAAAATGATTAGGGGTCTAGAACACATGACTTATGAGGAGAGGCTGAGGGAACTGGGGATGTTTAGTCTACGGAAGAGAAGAATGAGGGGGGATTTGATAGCTGCTTTCAACTACCTGAAAGGGGGTTCCAAAGAGGATGGCTCTAGACTGTTCTCAATGGTAGCAGATGACAGAACGAGGAGTAATGGTCTCAAGTTGCAGTGGGGGAGGTTTAGATTGGATATTAGGAAAAACTTTTTCACTAAGAGGGTGGTGAAACACTGGAATGCGTTACCTAGGGAGGTGGTAGAATCTCCTTCCTTAGAGGTTTTTAAGGTCAGGCTTGACAAAGCCCTGGCTGGGATGATTTAACTGGGAATTGGTCCTGCTTCAAGCAGGGGGTTGGACTAGATGACCTTCTGGGGTCCCTTCCAACCCTGATATTCTATGATTCTATTCTATGATTCTATGATGCTGATGCACCCCAGGTTGTACCTGCTAGTTTCTGGATTACGTTGGCTCTCGTTTTTAATCTTTGCAGCTACCTTTTCAAGATGATCATGGAAGTACAGGGTGCGGTCGAGTTTCACTCTGAGATATGTTGGAGTATAATTATGTTGCATATTTTTACCACAGAAAGCTACTTTCAGTGTGTTTTTGGCACTCTTATTATCAAGATGAAATGCGCTTACTATTGTTTTTCCAGGGTTTGGTTTTGAGCCTCCATTTCTGGAAATATTGCTCCATATTTTGGAGGTCCTCAGTTAATGCTTTCTCAATGTCATGGAGGTTTGATGCTTGGATTGTCATGGCAAGATCATCTGCACATGCAGTCATTGGTTAGAGCTATTTACATACACTGCATCAAATCCAGGCTCTGGTGAACATCCCTGTGAAGCAGACATGGTGTTTGTCAGCTTGCCGATCATGTGGGATTTCTTCTGTTGTTGCAGCTAATATAATTCTTCCTGCTTTGAAGAATTTAGTTTGCGCCCAGCAGGTGGACCTGCCCTTCTTCTTCTGACAGGAAAAATTATCCAAGTTCGCTCTAGCGTCGATGTCTTTGGGAACACCAGGGCCAAGGAAAGGGCACTCTACTGCTTGTCCTGATGTTGGTGTAAAACAAGTGGAGTAGCTGGAATCAGCATGAGAACTGAATTTAGCTTTGTGAGCGGAGTGAAGGAAAGAAGAAAGGGGGAAGTTTTCATTGCAGGCCTTCTGGGAAGAAGTGAACAAACATAATATAATCCCAAATATAGTTCAAAATCTGAGCACACTTCTCATCAGTTCTGGCTACTTCTGAAACAAAGAATCTACTGGACATCAGGGAACAAATTCAGGCTCAGCGTAACTTCACTGAAATCAATGGCTTTACACTAGGGATGAATTTGGCCCACAGATTTTATAATGGGAAGATGCAAATTTTCCAAAGAGGAAATCCCAAAGCTATTTTGAGTAGCTAAGGGAGGGACAGCTCAGTGGTTTGAGCATTGGCCTGCTAAACCCAGGGTGGTTGTGAGTTCAATCCTTGAGGGGGCCACTTAGGGATCTGGGGCAAAAATTGGGGATTGGTCCTGCATTGAGCAGGGGGTTGGACTAGAAGACCCCCTGAGGTCCCTTCCAACCCTGATATTCTATGATTCTATGATAACATCTTATCATTGGGAACTCCCCATGGAGGAAAACCCCAGCTCAGGACACATTGCTTGAGTAAAGTGCTAGGAATGAAATGGGAACATTTTCAGGGAATTCAGGGTTTCCTTCGATGGACACCTGTCCTCTGCCATTAGTACTTCCCACAGAATGGTGATTCTTTTGGTGTGAGCCTGTCTTGTCATTGGGGAGCTCGCTCAGAGGCTGTTTCTCCTTCAAATTAACCTTCCTAGGGCAAGGATTCAGCAGATCTGGGTTCAGTCCTACTCTCCTGGGGGACCTGGGGCAAATCATTCCATCTCTTTGTGCCTCAGTTACTCCTCTTTGAAATGGGGATAACCATTAAAATGCTTCTCTACACTGCAGGGTGTGGTGAGGAGAAGTTCATTAAAGCCTGTGAGGTGCCAAATACCATGGTGATGGGCACCAACGAAAAGCTGCCCTCAAGTTACGCATGCGCCTCGAAGGGCAGAATTTGGCTCTGTGTTTAATAAACAATTTTAATAAAGCTGTACAGTGTCACCAATGCATCAAGCAACAGTACAGAGGAGAACAATAGCCAAGTTCCCCTGCTGAAACATGATCTCACCGAGTAAACATGTTGTTTGGAATAAGGCTTTAACAAAAGTTATCCTTCTGCCAGGGAGAAAACACCACCCATGTCGCTGTGAGGATACACGTCTGCTTTATCCGCTACAAAAATCCCAGGGCTCTCAAGCTTGTCACAAAGCCACAGGGCCATGTCTTGAACTAAAATCCCATTCTGCACTGAGGCACCAGCATTCCAAGCTCAAGACAGGATTTCGCAGAGTCACAGACTGTAAGGCCCAACCATGGCGGTCATCTGGTCTGACCTTCTGCATAACACAGGCAGACAAGCTCATTGCTGCAACATGCCTGTCACTTCTGGCTGCGCTAGAGCAGGGCTTTTACACATCCCTGGGAAAGCTGTTTTTATGATTATCACCTTCACTGTTGAAAATCTGCACCTCATTTATTTCTATTTCTAATGCTGTCAATATCAAAGAGGCATTTTAGGCACCTCTGACATCAACCAGCAGCCACATACCCCATATTCCAGAGATGGTAACCAGCAGCTTAAACGACACTAACATAGTCCTGCCCGACAGCGCCCCACTCTGATGTATCTGGCTAATGCAAGGGCTGGTAGTGGAAGGACTACTCAGCCCCCAGACAGATGCTTCCCATCCCTTTTCCCCTCACCTCTCTAGAGAAAAGCAAATCTCCCCTCAATCCGCTGGATATGGGTGGCATTACAATGGACACACATTTAATAAGCAAGGGCTACATTGGGCCATTTCAGCACAACCCATTGTAGGTGCAACTAAAGCAAATATATTGATTCCTGGACATAAAACCAAACAGCTCTACTTCTTAGCCTGTAAGCTGGTTGGGGCAGGGGCTCGCTTTGGTTATGCATGCAGAACACCTACCACAATGGGGCCTAGAACCCTGATTAGGGTCTCTAGGAAGTACTGCAATACAAATAATAACCAAAACAACAACAGAGGCCAACGCTGAGCTGAGTACAGGCCCTCTCTGTCTCCTCCCCTTATATATGGTCTGCAGTCCAGAGACTGACTAGTATCAATATATTCTGAATCTCCAACTGTGAGCTACTGGAAAGGGGGGATCATTCCAGATACAGCATGTGAAATTGACAAACTGAACAATGGTCTGTGGGCATCCTCTATTGTGTCCCTTCCACCTTCCTCTGTGGTGCAAACTGCAGGCTTGCAAATTCCAAACTGATGTTCGACTTATTCTGAGGGGTAAAGCAAGGCAGTTCCAAGAACAGAGGAGTGTTAGACCTGAGGAACAAGAAGCAGTAAGACTGGATGCATTTGGTCTTGCCCCTCTGGTTGTCCACTAACATTTCTAGTGCTCATGGCCCCTAGAATTTCATGGATTGGGGGACTCAGAAAAGGAGGGTAAGTGGCTTGTCAAAAGCTGCACGGTATAGGAGCCAGGACCGGTATGTTGGAGCCCCTAGAGCCCTGTGCTGTACTCAGACAACCAAACCAGGCCTTTCTCCAAGTTATGCCAATGTACAGAGAGGAGGCTGAATGCCAGAATCTTCACATACATTCTATTGGCCGTGCTCTTTTACTGACGAGACCGTGGCATTAGGCATATGAATCTTCCCACAGAATGAACCAGCATGACTCAGTGGGGCTTACTAAGGGACCTACCTCACTACATCTATTTCTTTGGGTACTAACCCTGCAACTGGATCCATATACGCAGTCCCTTATCCCTGCATGAATTCTCATGAAAATCAATGCGGTGCCACCCGGGCACATGGGTTCACCAGTACAAGTCTGACTCCAGGATCGGGGCTGTCATACGTAAATATTAAAGCAATCTGCGCAAAGAGGAACCTAAATAATTTCTGTTACTTACAATTGGCTGTAGTTGAGCGCCCGGTAGCATGAACTGCATCTGTTGTGCAAACATGGCTGCTGCTGTCTTTTGCTGGATCAGATTGTTGCGTCCATTTATTTCGAGCTGTGTTTTTAAGTGCGGGGGAGGGTGAAGATATTTGCAGTTCTCTCGAGTACACCGGCCCTAAAAAATAATGAAGCAGTATTTCAGTGAACTTAACACTCAGAGTACTGGGAGAAAATCAATTATTGATGTGTTTGGAGAACTGTAACAAAACTACCAGCTAAGTGGGGCATTCTTCTAAGCTATTTTGCTCTTTTTTAAAACCATCTGTCATATTTTTATATGACTATCAGTTATGTGAAAAACAAACAATTCTACAATTGCTATACCATTATAGGGATTGCATCAAATTAAACTTCAGCCTAAAATACAGGTTTGCTAAACACACCAAGAGCATTCTTCACAACCTAATACAAATAGAAACATTTATGAACTAACAATAAAAACAACAGCAACAATAACCCTTTTCTCATTTTTCTGTGGCTCTGTGAACCCAAACACTAGAGCACTGGGCTGCTATATAACAACTGAAAGCGAAACCCACTAGTATAAAAAAGTGAAACTGACCCCACCAGTCCCTGTAAAGACCTGAGTGAAATGTAAAAGTTAAACACACACCTATGGTGAAAAGTACATTTCTTTTCAAAATTCTTTCAGTTTGAATCATTTCAGGGTATTTGGTACCACAGGAAATGGCAGAAAACAGCCATGGTTCCGTTTAAACTATTTATTAAAAACAGTAATACAATTGCCTTGCCATTAACTGCCTGGTTTTTCTTTTCACACAACCACAGGAAAAGGAAATGACTCCTGAACAGTGCAAGCTTAGTGCTCTCAGGTCATTTAATATCAATTGAGATGATCATGTCGGCTTCCAAAAGGCAGCTATAAAATGTCACAACCAACAGCCCGAGCACACTGCACTAACTACCTATTTTCTGGTGTGTACAGAAAATTAGTAACAAATTTGGTGATACTGAAAAAAAAATTCTTCCAAAAATATAAAAATAACTCCTCTAAAAAGATCTGTTTAATTTATTCCCTCCTGTGTTACTGTTTCCTTTCTCTTTCTGGAAAAAAAAAAAAAGTGTATGCATCTCAGTACAGAGATGGTCAGTTGTTGCGGCAGGGCCTGCTGTTTTTGTTCTCTGTTTGTACAGCACCTGGCGCAACGGGGTCATGGCAAATAACAGTAGTAGTAGTCATGTCAAATAATTACAACAGTAGCAATGAAAACATCATCAGCATTATTCATAAAAGAACAATTCGCTAGAACAGCCATCCTGGGATTTAGACATCCGCTTCAGGAGCCTGTGTTTGAAGCAGAATCCTCAGCTTTAAGAAAAACCACAGGGCTACTCATCCAAGTCATGCTCCCTGAGTGTTTGCAGGGTCAAGCTCCAAATGACTGCAAAACATCAATCGCACAATGAGATCCACACACGCAGACCCAGGTGGACACACGGTCCAGCCTTGCCGATCCCATTGCAGCATTGGGATCGTGCCTGCTTTCGGGCTGGTTTTTCCCTCTGCTAATCCCAGGGGCTATGTTTAGAGTTTTTTAAAACTTAACTTTGCCAGTCGACTGGCGCACAGCAAGGTCTGCTAGTCTAGTTTTCATTGTTTAGTACTCACATCACATAGCCAATAGGTTAGTCTAAGAGAAGTGTTTTCCCCTTAATAGGGTACACACTTACCATTCCAATAGAACAAGGTAAAAAACTTAGGATAACCCAGGACCCCAAATCCAGGCCCTTTTAGAACCTAATGACCCACATCCATAGGGAAGCCCATGCTCTGCTAAGCAAATCTGTGGAGGTGAGGGCAAAGGAAGCTTAGAGCCACATATGTGGCTCAGAGCTGCTCTACCTTACAAATCAGCAGTAACAGCTTCCCAGGGGTCGTTCCATAGGTCAGGGATCACTTGTGTACAGTGTTTTGGCAACACCCGTTGCATGCCCCTACGCTGAGGGGATGCTTAGAGGCGGGCTGCAGAGCTGACTTTGCCAGCTTTCCACCAGCTGGGAATTCCCTATCCTAGGTGCGTTGCTCTGGGGACTATACATGTGCAATGAACTCGCCTTGTGTATACTAGAATTCAAGGCTTTACAGAGCATTTTATTCTACCAGGAAAAGAAGGAGACAGAGAATCAGTATTTCATTTGAAAACTCATTGGCTTTGTTTCCCTGGCAAAATGGATTCTAGCTGTAGCAACACCTCCTGCTGTGTGTGAAAGAGAGACATCGGGAATACAGACCTATGAATATTGAATCAGCTGACTGGGAAGCCTACAAAGCACTTGTGAGCTCTGATAAATACAAAACAAGCATTTTAAAAAAACAGCACAAATCTGGGGCCTGCCTGAGAGGCCAGCACCGCTCCGATCTAGCGGATCGTTGAACAGGGCCCAGAGCCAACCAATCTTCCCGCACCATGGCAGGCTCACAGCAGCGCCACTAGCTTCACAGATCCCACAGCCTCGGAGGTGGCTCCGTGTTCTAAGTCTGGCTAGCAGCCGCAGACTGGTAAATTCCGACATCCCAGCAGAAATATCCCTTCTTCTAGCACCAGGCTTGATCGCCACAGGTAGCAAATTCGACCTAATTTTGTAGTGTAGACATACCCTGGGGCATGCTGCAGCAGGACTTCTCATGGCTGCTGCAGCGTGGGGACAGGTACATCCCCAGCACCAGCCCGGGGTTAACGCTTTCCTTCTTTCCTCCCCTGAGAACTCCAGTCTGGAGGTCGTTTAGGGAGCGGGGGGAAAAAAGGGACCCTGTGGATCCTAGATATAGTTCTACTGCTCCCCTTAAGAAATATAGGCTGGGAGGCAGCTGCTTGCCTCCAGATCCCAAGTGAGCAGGCAGAAAAGGAGGCAGCTCCACGGAGAGGAGGCAGGACTTGGACTGTACCTTGGAGCTGGGCAGAAATGCACAGGCCTTTTCTTATCTGCTTTGAGATGACGGAAGGGTTAAACCATGGGTCTTGGTTCCATGATATTATTTTGAGCTGACTATTAAATGCAAGGAACTCTGGGTCCAGTTCCCGCTCTCCTGTAAAAAACAGTGGGACGGGAAAACAACTCCAAAATGTCAGAAGACTGCCCTCGCTGAGTGAAAGCACGTGCTCCCCTCATCCTGGGGAGCAGCTTGCTGGCTTTTTAGAGCAGAGTGAAAGCTTGAGCCCTGCCGCGTGGAGGACATGACTCGCCCTCCCCAGGCACCTGGTGCAGTCCTCAAGGATACCAGTGCAGCGAGTGTAAAATGGCACCATCCCCATTTTGAAAATACTCTTACAGGCACTGGTACCTACAGCTGCCCAAGGAGCAGGGCAATAAAGAATAGGGCTCAGGGCCTGGATAGTCTCTGCTAGTTTGTCCTGTTGATCGTTCATGCCTTCCTGTTCCCCTTGCCCATACATGGATGGAAAAGCAAAGGGAGGAGCACAGCCCAGAGCAGGGTAGCTCTTCTTTAGGAAGGCTCCTCTAGACACAGTACTGAAGTCAGGCTGCCAAGCCACACTGCTCACCCCTGTATATCTCCCCAACACACTCTCCCTAGATATCTCTGTAGCCCTCAGCACCAGAGAATCAGAGAGTCTCTGGTGGGCAGAATCCCACTAGCTCTAAGCCACATCTTCCTCATCACATGGGACCAGCCAGGCACATGTCATCAGCCCCAATGTGGCTTGAAGCCTCTGCTGCAATTTCTCCCCCTGAGCTATGTTGAGTGCTCCTCGGCTGTGGTTCAGGATCTGGGCCTCTATTTGCACAAACTGCACATAGTTATAAGCCAGCCAGCCAGCCGTTCTATTAGAAGCTAATATTTTCAAGGGTTTATACATCAGCCTTCAAAATTCCTTCCAGCTGAAACTTGGCATGCACGCTTTTGGACTGGGAAACATTAATTTCTACCAAATTTGGAATAAATCTGCGTGGATGTTTTTATATTACAGGAATGGAGGGTAAAAAAAAGAGCTACTGGTTCTGTAAACAATATTTATGGCATATTTTATAAATTGAAAATGGCGCTGTTATTTAAACTGAAATTTTGCAGATCATCGATTCATCAGGTAGACCAACCCTGGGTACGTCGGAAGTATCTTTGTGAAAGTAGGAGCTATTCATACAGAACAGGCGGTGCTCATAAATGTTCAGTATTCTGTTCCCACAACTTATACGGTAGGCCCTGATCCTGCAACTGGATCTGTGCGGGTAGAAACACGTGTCCATGCAGATCCTGCTTGGTTTCAGTGGGTCTCCATGCATGTGCAAGAGTCCATCCATGCAGATTTGATTGCAGGATTAGGGCCTCCAAGTGCACTTGAAAAGAATCCAACATGACTGACAGTCTAATTCAAAACTACTCCCGCATATGAGCTCCAAGCGGAACTTGCCTCAAATCCCTCATCATAATAATCATGTCATCATAAGTGACTAAAACTCCCAATGAGAGAGATTTCAGAAGCTCAGTAACACCATGACAGGGTTATTTGCCTTTGTCATGCATCAGACATTGGGTAGTCTAGAAATGGACACTGGATTTTAGGGATCAATGGTCTAACCTAATACCACCAAACCTATGTTCACATTTTTTAATGTCCCTAATTATTAGATATTTTTCCTGAAAATACTTTTCAGAAGGTGCTTAGGCTCTGCAGAAACATATCCTGCATGGTTAGAAATTCTCTACAATCCCGCACTGCCATGCTTTCAGCTCACTGTATAGCACATGGCGATAACCCACAAATAAGCAAACACTTATGGCCAACCTCAGCCTTGCTGGAAGGTGGTGAAACTGCATGTGGCCCTTTATTATCAAAGCATTCCATGAACACTACCCAATTAATCCCCACAACTTACCAGTCAGGTGAATGTCATTATCCCAATTTTGTAGGTGGGGAAACTGAGGCAACAGGGCAGGGCTAGTTTCTGCCCACCCAGTGACCCAATGACCTAGCTGGCTTTATGCCTCTCTGCAAGCACAAATCAGGGAAAGCTAACTCACCCTGGTGCCTGCAAATCCCTTAGCACAGGGTAGCACAGAGCTGGCACGATAATTTCACACCTCTTGGCACCAGCACAGAAGACTTGTGGACTGACACAGAGGTGAGGCAGGAG